AAAAAAAATATTAAAAGAAGAACCTGGGATGTATCTATATTTAGAGATGAGAAGGAGGAAGTGAGGGTAACAGTAATCAAGGAAGAACAATTAGCAAGATTGGAGCATCAGGAAAGTCTAGGTCCGTGGTCAGCAAACTGCGGCTCATGAGCCACATGCGGCTCTTTGGCCCCTTGAGTGCGGCTCTTCCTAAGCCTTAGGAGTACCCTAATTAAGTTGATAACAATGTACCTACCTATATAGTTTAAGTTTAAAAAATCAGGCTCTCAAAAGAAATGTCAATCGTTGTACTGTTGATATTTGGCTCTGTTGACTAATGAGTTTGCTGACCACTGGTCTAGGTGAATGGAAGCCCAGAGAGAAGAGAGTTTCAGAAAGGAGATAATCAGCAGTGTTCCAGGCTACTGAGAAATCCAAGGAAATAAATTCAATAAATTTTGGGTTTGGAGAAAAGGTCATGTCTCAAAGAGGTCTTCAGAAATGGTGGGAAGAAGCCAGATGGAAGGCCACAAAGGAGGCTGTGGACTGACTATGAGAAAGAGTAGGGAGGAAACGTGGGAGCCTTTTTTGAGAAGTTCAGCATCTCACAACGGAATATAGAATTTAAGGTTTCAGCAAGATTAAGGCAATATTGCAGGATGAAAGACACACTGAGAATAAGGAAGGCCCTGGCTGGCAGCTCAGTTGCCCCGATATGCCAAGGTTTTGAGTTTGATCCCCAATCAGGGCACATACAAAAATCAACCAATGAATGTATTAATAAGCAGAACAACAAATAGATATATATCGCTCTCTCTCCCTCTCTCTCTATCTCTCTCTCTTCCTCTCTTAAGTCAAGAAAATAGGGAAAAGGGGGGGGGCGTTAAGAGATCAACCAAAGGACTTGTCTGCATGAATATAAGCATAACCAAAGGACACAGACAGTATGGGGGTGAGGACATGTGCTGGGGGTGGGAGTGGTTGGGGAGAGGTCAATGGGGGGAAAAGGAAACATATGTAGTACTGTAAACCATAAAGAATTTAAATTTAAAAAAGAAAAC